AGATAACTAGTCAGTCAGATGGTTTGAGCACATATTATTATTCCTTGGAATTACAAACTTCTGGGTGTGACATAAGATTATCAATAAATTAACAAGATGGAAAAATTACCTTGAAGGATGTAAATAATTATAACCTCAGCATATATTCAAATATTATACACACACAGTGCTGGAAAAAATATCATTTATCAGATGTAAAGGAAGGACTCCTCATGCAAGTGACTGATTATTCTGTTTGAGATTTCAAATGCCCCCACTCACCCAGAATGTAAAGATGTGCTGATACAGAATAAGAGAAAGTGTAAGATTTATGCTAATATGCTATTTCTGGTGTTGAATCTTTCATGTGCTTCTGTTTTGTCTGCTTCACCAGAAAATGCAAATAAGTTGATATACATAATGAACAATAATCCTGCTTTAGACTAGAGTTTCTTAAATTGTGGGTCAGGACACCTGCAGCAGGGGGTTGCCAAAAACTTTAGCAGTTTTGATATTTCTTTAACTTACTATAATAATTTTACAATTACAATCTTAAAATAGATAAGGCAATACATTTATTACAAAGAACATTTAGACGCATTCTTTTTATAAAATAAATGTTCATTTTACTTGCTTTGCACATGACGCTGTCATTTCGTCTATTACTTAAAATTTTTCACATTGTTCTGTCTTAAAATCAGAAATTAAAGTTAATGACCTAAAACTGCAATAGTATATTACAGTAGAAGTGAAAAAATTGACAGTTTCATTCATGCGTGTGTTGGGTTTCCGCGATACCTATGAGGTCCCACAAAATGTACGCAAATATTATGGGGTTCTGGGGTCACGAAAAAATCTGTGATAAAAAGGGGTTGTGAATGGAAAAAGTTAAAGAAGCCCTGGTGGTGTAGATAGTGAGTTTGGTGATTCAGGAACGGCAATTTTATTTTTTATGCCGCTGGTGTGCTATGAGCTAAGGCACATTAGCATGAGAACCAAGTCTTTAGTTTTAAAAGTGTAAATAATTAAGTTGTTATAGTGTTATAAGGTGCAAGAGTGAAAGTTTAAGTTTGTTATTTTCTTGAGTTATAATTTCATTAATTTTTGTTATTATCTGAAGTTATAACTTCATTAATTTTGTTATTTTCTTAAGTTATAACTTCAGTTTGAAGTATCAATAAATTTTAGTTATTTTTGTATTTTCATTATCAATTTAAGCTGCAGGACTCTTTTAAGGCAGTATAGTAAGGTTACAGTATGTAGATTAAGTGTATTTGTGGTGTAGCAGTAAATTGTTTCTAATTACATGATGTAGTTTGAAAGAAATAAAATCACAGGACTACAGAAGGTAGTTTGCTGTATTATACCATTGCTGTATAGGTAAACTGTTAGTAAAGTTGTGCAAGGATGTTCACAGACGAAAGTTCAAAACATCTTGTGAGTGGCTTGGAACTTTAATGTCAGCATTGGAAAAAGAAAATAGGAATGTGCAATGCTTGGCAAAATAAATTGTACCGTTGTACATATAATATTGGCATATAAATGGAGGACAGCAGTAAGATGTATTCTTTTGTCTCTGATTGCTGTATTGAGAGATTGTAGTTCATTGTCTATTACTGCGATTCCCTTCTTTTTGCATTTTAAGATAGAAGGAACTACTAAGATGTCAGGATAGATGTTGAAATACTGAGAGCAAATAGCATTTTCTTTTGGGGAAAAGGATGTCTAACTTCAGTATCACTGGTTATAAATGACTGAATATTTACTTGCAGACTTATGGAGGGTGCAAAGACTCATTGCACAGCTTCTTGCTGATCTTATTCTAAGGATAACAATTTGGAGTGTTGTAGAATTCCGTTTACTTCTTTTGGCCTTATATACGTTATAGATGCCATGAAGAGTCAGCATACAAAATAATGGTATATATTGAATATAAGAGGAATAATCAGTCTCTGATACGTTGCAGGTAACGTGAACAGTTAATCTTGTGCATTTTAAAAACTGAACTTGTTTTTTTTTTTTTTTTTTTTTAACATACTATCCCTTTCGATTTCTTTCAAGACCATCAGTGTGCAACTCTTATGTTATCTCTATTATTCAACCTACTTTTTCTGTTTATTACCAACAGAATAAAGTTATGAAATCAATGATTCATTAACTTAAGTCCTTACCAAAGAATTATAGATCCATAATAAAAGTTATATGAAATAACATTTTGCAGATGCAATTTATAATATCATTGTCTTGATGCCACATTATGCACAGCCAGTCAGTAATAAGTATTCCATATGAGTAGTAACATTGAGCCATGAATAGCTGCTCCTGGTGTCAAAGTATGTAACTATTTTAAATTAGTACATTTTCCTTTTTGGTTGCAATCATCCATACCCAAAAGTATATAAATATACATATAATACCCACATTGTTACCTGGCTCGGTGAGCTCAATTTTTTTATTCTCATTTGTTTTGAAATTGTGCATTTTTTGCTTTATAAGTGGGTTATGTTTTTCTTATGATCCAGTAATGGTTTTTATGCCTTTATTTAATCTGCATGCAATAGCTGTAGAATTAACAATTATTTAAAAATTACTACTGAGCCTAACGAAGCCATTTATTTACATCTTAGTAGAATGGCGAATTAAATCAGTTTCTGCACCATAGGACCAAAAATATGCTTTTAACCTTTTCGCGACGGCGCACCTTTGTTTAAGACGCTCGTGCAGGACGGAAGGGAATCGAAGGCAGTCACCATACAGGACGGAGGTTTTGCATCGCTAAAGCCTAATTTTTATAAAAAAAAATCAGAAAAAAAAAAAAAAAGTTTTGCTTCTAGCATCGTAATTTTTGGTATCATTTTAGATTATTACTTAAGCTCTTATATATGTTAAAATTAGCACTTAATAACGTTTTTTTCTTTATTTTACATGAAAATATACTTAAAAAATTCTTATCTTGTAAAATAATTTTCGGAAGCACTATTCAAATTATGCCAAAGTTTTAATTGATAAAATCCATCAATAAAGTTTAAAATTAATAAAACAACACAATAAAGACTATTTACAGTAGGAAGTAACAAAATTTAAAATGAAGATTGTGGTAAATCTCAAAGCATGGAGAAGTATCACTTCTAACTCTTAGAAAAAGTATCTCTTTCTAACTCTTTAGAAAATGAATCATCACCCTCATGTGCATTAATAAATGGTTCATTGACAATACCAGGGTATTCTTCTTCTAAAAAATGGCGTCATAATAGACTAGAGGTGAGGCTTTCCGAAATAAAAAGAGAAGAAACGGAGATATATCTGAATGCAATGCAAACTCCACATACTAATCCTAAAAGACCGTGCATAGTAAAGGAAAAAATGGAATAAAAAAAAAGGAATTGGATATAAATCAGACATGCAAATGTTTTCATTAGCACGCAGCGATTTAAACCCTTGCAAGAGCTGATGAGTAAAATACCAAATTCAAGCAGAATATATCTAACTCAAGGTCAGGAACATAAAACTGTGTTCATTTCAAAAGTAATGGACATAGGATGCCATCTAGTGGCCTTCAGAAAAACGTTCCAGCTTAAAATCGTATATGCATCACCCGTCCTCTAAATGCGACCTCTAGCGATGCGTGCATGGGACGCCCGGCTGTGAGAGACGTTCTTAGGGAATGCGTATATGGGACGCTCTTCCTGAAAGGTTAATTTTGTGCATAAAAAAATCAGTCTTCTTCCCCACTGGTCGAATTGCTTGTTTTTGTGTAGAAACTCCACTTTTAATCGTAAAGAAGAAGAAGGAAAAAAAAAAAAAAAAAAAAAAAAAAAAGAAAGAAAAAAAAAAACTGTATTAGTAGGTTTATGTTTTCCTGCATTTTACAATTTTTAATGAAGATGTTTTCAGTTTTCATGCATTTTTGCCTTGCCAAAGTGAGAACTGAATTAATTAAATGAGAAATATATCTCTAATGAAATTCAATGAAATAAGTTTAAATAGAAATTCAATAGACTGTACAAGGAAGTCGTGATATCCACATTGGAATGTGATGTTTTGAAACTGGCAAATATATTTAGATTGGCCTGTGTTTGTTCACTTGCTTATTTATTATTCTTGCTTATTCAATGCATTATATGGAATCCTGAAAATTCTATAAAATATTCATGCAGTTTTATTCTGCTTTTGTGAGTTACAAAAATAGGGGTAAATGCCTTTATATGACTTTGATTAATAAGTTCAAATAATATTGCATGTTTAACTTTCTCTCTCTCTTTCTATATATACATACATACATATGAGATTTTATGTTTCGTTCTTCCAGTAAAATGAGGCACTAAAGTCAATTTGCTAATTAGTTAATACTGTGTAGAACTTTGCGCACAGTGATATTAAGTGCAGAGTCTGTGAGAGAGCTTCTAACAGCCTTCCTGAGCTATTATTTTGCTTATGCCTTTATGTTATTTGGATTTATGATTCATTTATTGGCTTTAGTTTTGGCAAGCTGCATTTCCTTCACGAAAACTTACGGTCGAAGTCAAAGCTTATTTAAGTCTTTATTCTATATTTTCTATCAAGCTGTGAAGTTGACTTCTATTATTGTATCAGTTTTGTGTTCTTAGGTTGACATATTAATGTATAGGTTGTATTTTAAACCTTCAACTTGAATTGTGTTTACTAGAGTCAGAAAACAAGATGGGATGATAAGTTGTCCAAGTATCATTATGGTACCGATTATTTGGCATTTCAAACACTGTTAGAACTGTATATATAGCCTATATTGTTATTTTGTAGAATTTCATGTTTTAGAAGAATTAAGACATAACATTTTAATATCATTGTACTGCAAAATAATTTATTAAATGCAGAGAAAGTTTGAATTATTTCTGGTAGTAGCGTTTTGGTGTTTTACATCCAGTGACAAACCAATTAACCATAATTAAAGAAAATTAGTTTGCAATTAAATAATATTTGAAAATTTAATTCAGTTCCATGTGGTTACAAGTTTGTGTTTAAAAAATCAATATTGCATGAAATGGATTTATTACAAAAATGGTTTTATTACATGAATATATTACAAAAAAGTGCATAGTGAATACATCAAAAATTTTTTCGCAGTAATAAAAAAAATACTCGTATCTATGACTGTATCTAATTAATCTTTATTTTTTGCTATTCTGCTCGAAATTTTCAGGAAGCATAACACTTTTATATTTGTATCATCATTTTTAATAAAAAAGAGTAATATTATAATACTAATCTTGTCAAAAAACATTTAAAACAACTTTAATGTATTATTTCTTGAAGCAGTATATTAAGTTTTGAGCTACAAATACAATAGTAATAGTAATAAATACTGTAAAACCAAATACGTATACAAATACATCATCCTCAAAAATGTAATTAACTATATAATAAATTATATATCATTTGAAGATGCTTGGTAAAAAAAAAAATATCTCAGATGGAATCTTAATATACACAACACTAAGAATTAATGATTTGTAATGAGAGATATTACAAGTTTATATATCCATTATAATGAATTAAAATCATATGAGGACTAACAATTTTAAGATAACATTGCAAGAAGTTATTATAATGCATTAAAATCATAAATTTCAAGTATTTGTTAAATATGCATGGAATTCTGTTGGTTTTTGAAGAAGTAAATTTTTTAAACAAACTAACATAGACAATACTTCTTGCTAAATCTTGTAAATAGCATATCAAAATTTCATACATACTTCAGCACATTACATTCTTAGTACTCTTAGTTATTTTCTTTACATTATCTGTGCTTCCTTTTTTTAGCATCATGATGCCAGTATTGAGTTCTTGTTAGCATATTTCTTCTATACCTATAAAGAAAGAATGATACATATTATTTCAGCTTATATTCTCAAATGAAGGCTATGTCTTTAGTGACTACCTTGCTGGACTATGAGGGACTGAAGAATAACATCCATGCCTACTTATTCAAGATGTGTACTTTGATAATATTACAGATTTTGCATTTTGCAAGGCAGCACAAGACTTATTTGAAGAGAAAGCTACACTGAAAAAATTAAAATACAGGAGGCATTTAAGATTTTAATAGATTTTTATTAACTTTGTATGAACTAGTGCATTCAATCCATTACTAACTCCAACTTCCGCTGTTGGAGTTGTTGGAACGAAAAGTTTCTGTTGTCAGAACTTTGTATCCCATAGAAGGGCGCTTCAGGTAGGATGAGTGCAGCACAGTAAGTCCAGAAGAACAGGATAGAAGATGGCAAAGGGGGAAAAAACCGCTACCTTGATAGTATCAAACCTAATTTGAGGTGGAGTTAGTTGATACTGTTCAACCCTTGATTAGATAATTAACGTGTTGCAATCATTTGCGAAGTTGAGACCTTGCGAACCAAAGATGTGCATCTGAGTGTTTGCCATCAAAGTCTGAGCTCGAATTAGCACTCGAACACCAAGTTTTCAGTTTTATCCGTTTTGTGTGCTCTCTGTGGGTTTTTCAGTAAACTAGCGCAACTTTTGATCTTGTTCATTTTACTCTCCCAACACTGTTGCAAGTTCAGGTTGGAATTCTAATATTCATCTTTTCTGCCTCTCAGAGTGGACTGCCACTCTACGTTCTATGGTAATTATTACTTATCTGAACGAGTACTATCACACCTCTTAATTTGTAAAAACAATTTAGAATCACCCTGTATATATATAATTTAACAAATATTATCTATTTGTAAAAAACTAATATAAATTTAAAATTTAACTAAGAAATATTAATTGCAAAATAAAAAAATTAATTATTGCTGTGAACTAATTTACAATATCATTTAAATTCTAATGTATATACATATAAAAGTAGAGCTGTGTGCTTTCATAAAGGGATCTCTAACAAAATCTGGCTCATATTTATGTTACACATGGGGGAGGGGGCATCAAAACCAACCATCATCCAGCCTGTGCGACTAGGATTAAACTCCTAAATCACTCAGTCGCTGGTGTTGCCTTTTCCTTCAAATGCTTTAGAAACAGCTTGGCAAGTTCATAGAATTTCTAGATTCTTTTATGACCATACAATTGCAATTTGAGTGTATTATAAAAATGCTGAATATTAATTTTTCAAACTGGATTTGAATCTCAGTGAATAGACTGTGTTGGTATTTGCATAGCTGCGCCTTAAGAGTAACGTGAAAAGTTGCCCATGCACAGTTCTACAACAGTCAGTCATTTAGATATACAGTCCTTGCGTACTTAGCCTTAAGTAACTCTCTGTGCGTCATAACTTTGTCGATCTACTAATGAAGAATTGTATTTAAACAGCATAATTATTTTAGTCTTTCTTTCCATAAACTTTCATTAATTAAAATAGTATTTAGATCATTAAAGCAAATAAGAAAGCAAAATATTTTAAATAATAAAGTAATGATATATAGCAAATGAAAAAAGTCTCATGATCAGATAAAGGCAATCATGCAAGTCGATTAACCATCTATGTCTTTATAGGTGCATGCTATCAGAGTGTCCTAATTTTTTTCTGAATCGCTCATATTGCTCCCCAAATGGATACTTTTTAAAGAAAACTGATTCTTTCTGATTAACTGTACTCCAATTTCAGCATTCAATAGAACTGTAGTGTTTATACCATGTTTTTGAATATACATGCTGGAATAACCATGTGCATGTATATAACACTTGTTAAAGTACATGTAGTTTTATACTCTTTGTATTTAACCATTATTTCAGTAACTTCCCTTCCTACAAGGTCCCACCAGTGGCCAAGTTAAGACTACCAAATTCTTGGGAGTTTGATCAGAGCATGATTCCAGAGATGTACAGGCTGACTACATGGCTTGTTAGATGAATATGGGCCAATTTCTCAAGTCATTTTTCTCCTTAGGCAAATAGCCTTTGTGTATTTTGCCATTTTGAAATAACCTTACCAATACCAAGTTTATATATTTTGGACAGAATTTTCTTTTTATAAAATACTGCTTCTTTCTTATAAATCAGTAGAAGTGAGGCCTGAAGATAGCAAAACGATTTTTTTTATTTTTTATTATCAATTATCAAAGCTGCAAATGAGCCAACAACTTTTCATGGGGTTGCAGTTAAGAAAAAAGGAATATATCTTATTTTTTTATAAATTACTTCTTCTGGAGAATAAATATTATTATTATAACCTGTTCGTTTTCTTTGTGCTAAATAGCTTGATGGTAATTATACTATGCAGTCTTTGAGTTTATCACTGAAGAAAAGTGTATAAAATTAAACAAAAAATTCTAGTGAAACATCAGTACATATTTTTAAAAAATATTTAAAAAAATACTAAAATGTGTCGGTAATTATTACCACATGTTACAATTATGCATCTTCCTTGGAAATTATTTAAAAAAACTCACCCCTGTAACTGTATGCATGCATTAATATATAAAACTAATTTATTTTAGCACACTTATAATTAATATGCCTTTTTCTCACTCGTATCCTAAGTGGAATTACACTTGTTAATTTAACTCTTCAAATTACCTGTACCGAAGGTCTTAGATCACTGATAGAAAGCAACACAAACGTAAAAGTAAGAGGTAAAAATATCAGGACAAACATAACTGGTTTCCACAGAAAGGTTCCTATGTCTTATCACACATTGCCAGAAGGATGTTTCACCAGCTCTTGCACATTCTACGCTTCCAGAGTTCATATAACGCAGGTATCTTGTTGACGATATCGAAATCCTCCATCATATGCACGGATTATATAAACTCCGTGAGCGTATGAAAATAGAATAACAGATGGTTGTGGTGCATGAAGAGCAGTAAGAATCTTCGCCCGAAGGGAGAAAAATCAAGAATGCGTTTGTAGAAAAATGTTCATAGGTAGAGGAAAACATTTTATCATTGTAATTTTCATTTTGCATAAGACAAAGTGTTAAGGTTAAAAAAAAAAAAAAAAAAAAAAAGAGGAGGGAGGAGAAGCGGAACAAACTAAAACGAAATATCTCATGTATTTCTTCTCAATATAACTGAAAAATCTTGGAGTTAATAACGAAGTATGAGGAACATCTATTTATAACTGAAGTAACACACACAAAAGAAATAAAAATGAGAGTTTTTTTTTCAGCTACATTGCTCGCTCGAAGTGTGCCAAGTCCATACTAACGTTCACTTAGTCACATGACCTGTAAAAAGAAATTGTTTATATTTGGGTGAATCTCGCATCACGTGGCTTATAGCAGGTGCTCCGTTTTAAGAATGACTCTGTCACATAATCTGTCATCAATGTCATCTGTTAAATCCTTCCCCTTGATTCACTGCTTACTTTTGGAAACTGCTTTGTGGCAAGAATTGCTCGTCCATCAGGTTCCGAAATTTTCCTGGTTTGACTTCTTCTGTGAATCAGGAGTAAAGGAGAATTTTCCGCTTTATGGCCGCAGGGCAGATACATGGTAGTCACCTATGGAAGAAAACGGTCATCAGTAGCAAAGATTATAATGCAAATCTTGCGCGCTCATCCTTTATGTTGACTGAACGCCCGGGACACAATATTCACAGTTAGCTTTGCGGCAGGCACGGGAATTATGGCCTATTTTACGACAGCCATAACATTTACGATCATCTTGTTCACAATCTCCTGATAAATACCCACGTTTTTCACATATGTAACACGTTTTCATGTACTTTTTGTAATCTCGGGCAATGTGACCGGTTCTTCCACAGTTATAACCATTCATTTCTTTTCTTACCCCTTCTTTCTTTGATAGAGATATAGGATGCCTTGGAACTACGACACAGGACTTGCTACTGGTGTTAATATAATGCTGGACATTGGGAATAGTTTCTTCCCGTGGTTGAAAGACACCTGGAACTGAGCTGATATTTCTCTTCACTTTCTGTTGACAGAAACGTGTTAACTTTCGCCTTTTATACTGAACTATCAGTTGGTTTGAAAATGTTATCACTAAAATTTCTGTTCAGGGTTGTCTTGGAAATACCATCTATTATTCGGAAAGTCTAAAACAATTCCAGCGTTGCTCAAAATCTCAGTTCCTAAAAGCTTTTTGTTATCTTTTGCTGTAGGCAACGCAAATAAAATTATTGGGAACGATCGTCCTTCAATTTCAGTATCTACTTGGGTGGTATAAATTTGTTTCCTTTTGGAGACTATCGGTGAAGGTAACATTCATGCTGGTTTTCCAAAATTCTATTCCCCCCTTCTCTCAAAAGACGATATAACGTTTCTCCCTCTGTAGTCTGGCTGACTGCAGTGTCAGCACCTACAATTCCAGTTAATCCGTTTTTTTTTTTTTTACTCTCGAAAGAGTCGTCTGGTCTTCATCGAGAGAATGTCCGAAGATGTATAGCTCTAAAATCAGCTTCTGCTTTCTTAGAGGAGGGGGGGCAGGCGGAGCATTTAGCCTTAATAAAGCCTGACTTCCCCCATCCATAGCAACTAACAGGATGTTGATCTTCATTTTTTGCTTTATTTCTTGATGAGGCGTGTTTAGTATGTTGAGGATTACCTCTATAATTTTTGGGACCATCTCCTTGTTGAAACTTAAGCATTTCTTACTAACATTTTTATTTCGTACATGTGTAACTTCTTCATACAGATCTAATTTGTCAGCAAGCTGGAGTGGGTTGTTCCACTCATTCCACTTATCCAAAAAATGTTTGTTATAATCTGGAGGGGCTTCTTTATCTGATCTGCCGGTATCAAATTTTCTTAACTTCCCAAACGTCCTGACTTGATTCTTTAAGCCAGCCACCCATCGAAATACTAGTTTTGTAAATCAAAATAAAGGCCAAGTGGTTTTCAGTAATTTTCTTATGTTGGATGTACAGTTTTCGAAATTTCTGAGCACTCAGTTTGAAGCGTTTTAGGAGAATTTGTTTAATTTTCTGATAATCCTAGGCACCACCAGAAGATTTATTTGCAATTAGATTTGCAACATCAGTTGGCAGAAGACCAACAGGATAAAGTACTTATTTTGATAAAGTACTATTTTTGAAACTTTTAGCTTCAGAAGGGTTAAATGCCTCTCAAACAAATCCAGAAATAAACTCATATCGGCTGTTTTAAGATCAAAATTAGGAATTGTTCAGTTACAACTTGGTAATTTCTGCGTCTGCAGAAGATACCGTTACAGACTCCAATCTACTAGCAGTAACACTAGGTTGTAATTTTAACTCGTCCAATTCAAATAGCCGTTCATTTTCTTTCTCTCTTTTAACACGCTGTTTTATTTCCAGTTCTTTCCTATCATTTATGATGCGATTCAAACATCCTTTCGTTAACTCTGCGTCATACGTGGGATTAGTGATAATAGTATTACTTAAGAATTTCTAAAATTTTCCTCTATCACAACACCTAGTGTCTCCACTAATTCAATTATATTCTGTTTCTTTCTTTTTACTGAAAAAGCCATGCTTAAATGAAAGTTGATAAGTTCCTCGAAACGTACACCTATAAATTTTAGTATGTTAACATATATAGAGTTTAAAAAAATTTATATTGATTTAGCACTTATCAAACCTACATATTCAAGAGCAAATTATGAAATAATATAATAACTCACTTTCTGTGGATTGCTTGAAATAGTACATAAAATACACAATTCTCAGAACGTAAACTATTATAGAACACTTTCAGTAATTTACATTTATGAAAAATAAAGCAACTTGCAACTAGTATATATTTCTATACCCTTTTTTTTCTTCTGTTTTCAAAATAAAATTTAAGATTCTTTTATTTTGTACTTGTAATATTTGACATTTATTTCTATGCTTCATATCGAAACTTGCATAAAACAATATACTTGAACTTTCTACGAATATATTAACTCAAATATTATTTTTAAAAACTTACCAGAGTAGCGGCTGCTACCACAAAATTTCTTGTTTTGTAAGGGTTGTGTTAATTTTCTTAACAGTTAAATTTTGAGTTAAAGTTTCTTTCCTATCGCCTCTTAATTTCAACTTACGGTCAGAACGTAGTTTTAGAATCACGTTTGAATGCAAATTTGAGGAATAGTATTTAAGTTCTGCCGCAAAGTTCTTAGAGAGAACCAGTGATTCTGGCTAGCACGCGTTCACCTTTTTAGGCTACTTTCTCTTAAGCTATTATTACGCTCGGCCGTACTTTAGGCCCGTGATACTTCGCAGTTAATCATTTTTAAGGGGCCAACTCTATTAGAAGTTTTGATAGCTTCGGCTATATCTTTCTAGTTAACCAGTTAATTGTAATTGACGAGTATACTCGTCATGGAGAAACGGCACGATTTTGTATTTTGACGAGTATACTCGTCATGCGTATAATGAAATGGAAAGAGAAGAGGGAGGTTTATTTAGTAGGTACTGTACATAATGACAGTGTAATAGAAGCAGAGAAAAGAAAAATAATGACAAAGAAACAGGAGCTAGTGATTGATTATAATAAAAAAAAAATGGGTGGAGTGGATATGAGCGATGGAATTATCATAGCCTACTCCACAGCAAAAAACTCAAAAAGTACTACAAAGAGATATTTCTCCATTTCTTATACATTATGTGTCTGAATGCATTTATATTATATAAAAAAAATGGAACATTATCGCGTATCAACTTTTTGCTCAAATTTATTCACACGTTTGCGATGTATAAAACGAGGAATAGCGTTACTGGTGTTCGATTTGCAAAGTCCCATTGTGTATAGTACCTCCATAGCAGGAATTTAAATTCGTACTTTTATATGCATAATATTTAATTTATTGTGTTTTCAGTTTAATATATATGTAATATATGTTTATGTTAACCAAATAAGTAAATATTAGTAGTAAAATTGAATCTTTTTCATCCAATATCTTACCAGCAGAACTTACTCTCCGATTGACGAATATACTCGTCATGGCTCGATTCTGGCGACACAAAACGGTGCGCACTCTTAAACGAGGCCGCCACAGTTAACTGGTTAAGATTAGATTAGTTCTTAGTCTCTTCAGTTCAAGCCCGAGTGTAGGCTTTATTGTGCAACTCCAAGACGAAGTTCTGTTATACCTTATTGGAATAATAAAGGGTTATTTCACCCTTCTTACTTTTACTTTCTATATCACGAACTCAAGCGATTATTCGTTTACCTGTTAAGATTTTTCAAATTCAACTGTAACTTAAAAGTACACAATACAGACTCTTACAATTTAAGTATCAGAAATACTTCAAAATTTACCTTTCGGCACTAAAGGAACTAGCATGCAAAACTCTTACAATATGATCAGAGTGATCACACTTCATATAAAAGAATTCGAATTTAACAGAACATTGAACTGATTCGGATGATCAGCGAAAACTAAATTAGGTCAGAGTGACCAGAATTCTTATATTTTTACTTGATTCTGATGATCAGTGACAACGAAATTAGGTCAAGGCAATTAGAATTCTTTAGTTCTGAATTTACTTAACTGAAAATTGACAAACATTAATCTTTAATTAAATTAGTTTAATAGGAGAAAAAAGTATAAAACTTGTCATCACTGTCGGAGCTTCCGTCTGTAAGCTGGACCTCATCTGTGTACCCATTAAGTACACAATAGCCTTAGATACAGTTTCGTCAAATGCGTTCAGTTCATCTTTATTGTAAACAGCCTTTTCTTAAAAGGACTTTTCGTGGTTCCTTGTCTTTAGGTTAAAAGGTGACTTATTATACACTTAGGAGGAGCTCTTTTGTTAGGCACTGGAAACGATATCATTTGAAACCTTCCATTCAGCCGTGTTCGTTAAATGAGCAAGGGGCAGATATGATTCTAAATCTCAAATTTCAGACGTTTCCGTGTTTTAAAGCATTTGAAACCTTCGATTCAGCCGTGTTCGTTAAATGAGCAAGGGGCAGATATTCTAAATCTCAAATTTCAGACGTTTCCGTTTTTTAAAGAAACAAGTGAGCGAAGGTTTTGGCA